TCTCTCTCTCTCTCTCTCTCTCTCTCTCTCTCTCTCTCTCTCTCTCCAGCGCAGCGGGTACGTAGTAACCCAATCTTGTATCGCTCGCCTTTACCTCTGCGCATTGATTTCATTTCACGCTCAACTGCCGTGTTGACGGATAAAGATGCACCACAGTTACCGAGACTCACATCTCCGCGACTGGGAACTGTGCGATGCATCACATTTGTCAGGCTCAGTGCTGGCAAGGTCCTCAGAGTCTTATACAAAAGGGATTTGTCAACGACTAACAGGGAGTTCATTCGTAGTCTAAGATTTTGTCCTGTACCTTTGCTAGCAGAAATTAATGACCTGCTTGGAGCGTCCCATTTTTGGGGTTTGTGACGCTGTCGAGCGCATTGGTCTTCATCCTCGTCACGACTACATATTGACCTTCTGCCAGCCACTCCGGCTGTGTGCGCTGGCCATACATCTCGCGAGCCCCTACGACAGGAGAGGCACTACCCGAGGCGCGACTTACGTCCACCTTACGGGAGCTGTCACCTCTCTTCGGTGGGCGTATCCCCGCCGAGCTACCACTCCACAGTACGAAAGCTGGTCAATTGAAATCGCAGAGGTGGACCAGCCGATGGTGTTTCTCGTTCGTTGTACGATACGGGGTACGCGCGGTCCCACACCTCTGTCGGACCCGTACGCGAACCGGCGCACTGGGAGGGGGGCTGATGACTGAGGCCACTACTATTCGACGTCGGTCGACTAGGATGTATCCCGATCACTACGGACACGAACCGGCGCACGAAATTCGACGTCGGTCGACTACGACGTATCCCGCTTACTACGAACATAATGTTAAAAATAAAACGTGTGCACACACACACGAAACGACAGAAAACAACATAACAACAACGCGACAACACTCCTACTCCCTTCAGTAGCCATCCCATAACTTTCCGTGGCCGAAATCGGATAGCCGACACTCGCGAGACTTTTTATTAAACACCGTGGGCACAGGGCTATCTCATATCGACTACCAATGCATTGTGCAAGCAAGCATTCTATTACTAAGTCTTCTTTTTTAATCACTAAATTTAATCTAAAATATTATGTTCAAACCTTGAATARAATCTTCTATATTCCGAATTAAATCTTTGTTTATATGTTATAACACTCGCAATGATGGCGTACAATGTAGTGCCCATAATCAAGCGCAACACTCAAACAAACCTGGAGTTTATTCTGAGTTGTCGAGTGGCAGCCGCTCCAAAAGGCTACCTCAAAGATAGCCTACAAGGGAGAAATTCGAACACCGTTGGTGTGCTGGGGTGGTTGGGGTTGGGTGGGGTGGGTGCGTGTGTGATGGCTCGAGTACTCCATGCGATGGCAGTTGACCCATATCACTGCCCACTTAGCAACACTTACCAATGATTGTCTCGATTTATTCTTATTTATGTCGCTGATCGGTTCATATTGCCAACATGAATTTCTCTTACTTATATGACTCCAACATGAATTCTGGCTTTGTTACACAAAGTGAACAATCAAAAGGTTCACTTTTAACGAAATGTGTATTGAGAAGATGCAGCTATGGTTGGATCGCCACTGGGAGTCTGGGAGCCTGGGACCCTACTCCTGAGGAGGGTCAGCAGTGCAACACGTACTCCAACGCATCAGACCTCTGATAGCCCTGACCTCTGGTGTCTTCATCATATCTATAATCTACATATAGCCTAGATCGACCTAGACCGGATTGACTGACCAGTTTTGGCCTCTAGGGCCTAACCCTACCCGGCTATAGGCTATAGGACCGTCTACCAGCATAGGCCCGTAGGGCCTATCTGTCCTAGGGGTAGCCCGGGTCTGCTATTCGCAGTTTGGGTAGCTGTAGGGAAAATGAAGTTGGTACTAAGCCTATATTTCTATATTTACAGATATGTCCCTCGCGAATTTTCCATACAGGCAGGTATCTCGGTCAGTCCTCTGCCAAACAAAGAATGATAGAGAGCAGTGAACACACAGAGTGACACAGTCACACAGTGTTCCTCGACGAATCCTCGCTCTCTTACAGACTCCCGAAAAGTTGTGAAAACTAATCTCTCTCTCTCTCTCTCTCTCTCTCTCTCTCTCTCTCTCTCTCTCTCTCTCTCTCTCTCTCTCTCTCTCTCCGTCGTGTCTCCGGTATTCCCCCCCTGGCGGCTGATGTGGCAGTAATGTCCCTCGGGCCCCTCTTTGCGCTCGAGTCTGCGCAACAGAGAACGAGCTTGCGCCCGTCGATCAATAGACCGCAAATGTGCCGATGGGGTGCAATGACCTTCCGGGCCAGGTCCAGTCCTCATCCTCACGCGACGACCTCCGACGTCATCTCCGTCCGCCGTCCGGATCCTCGGGACGTAATCGTAGTCATCAAGATCGTCGGCGCCTGTGGTCTCACCACCCTCAGCGCCTGTGGAGCTGTCATAGTGGATGATGATCGTGCCGCCTCGTCTCTTCTCACCTCGCCCTGATTCGTCCACTTTGTCACCTCCGTCCACCCCGCCCCTTCCATCTGCAGCAGCTGGCATCTGTCTGGTCTAGTCACTGTTGCGAAAAAAAGGATGCGGGCCGCGCCGGTGATACGGAATCGACGCACCTGTTCCCTTCTTCCTCGCCCCTGATAGCCTCGCAGTAGCCGTCCTGGTGTCATGGACATCGGTCATCTTGGCCAATATAGGCCTCCCATGCAGCTCCTCGTAAGCTCTTATGGAATCGTGACAAATACCATCGACGTTGCCGATCAATCGCGCCCCCACGGGCACATCTGCCGGTCCGCATGCTAATGCATGTCCGATATCGCCCGCCCTCCGGTCCATGGCCGCACCGTCGGAAAAAGACCTCGTCGGCAATACGCTCTACGAGGCCTGCCCGTGGGCGACGGGGTTAGCGACAGGGGAGCGTGAGGGTGGTGAACACATGATGTCACGCATCCCCATCAGATGCGGTCGAGGCTCATCTGTGTGCGCGTCTCCAACGTCATGTGCATTGGGCCTAACAATGGTGGGGTGTGAGGTCGATGACCCTATGCGCTCGATGCCCCCCCTGATGGACCGTCCAGCGTCTGCACTCCCTGGTTGTGCCATATCATGGCCCACACCCTCGCCTCCGTCCGAGCGGATAACTCCGGGAGGCCTCGCCTTTAAAATCTCCGTCGAGCCTCGATGTGGCTCTCGCTGCGGGCCCTCATCCAGAGGACGGACCGATGACACGCCGTCCGATAACTGTTGTGAACCAGGACCCCCCTGCGCCGCAAAATCTCCAGACGCTGCCTCTAGTGAACCTCCCAGACTACGTTGCGCTGCGACGGGCGGTCCGCCACGACGGTTCTGTGCCACCTCCTCCGTCAACCCTTGCTCCACCGCCCACGGTCCACCGACATAAAAAATGGCGGGAGTGCCGGACTCTGGAGGATGCAGTATCGTATCGCCGCCGAACTCGTCGAACCCTCTGTCACGACGCGCGTCATCTCATCCAGCAGGCTCCGGTGGTGCCACAACCGCCAAAGTGGGAGATATCAATAGTGATACATCGGGCAGAAATGCCAAGGCGAAATCCATGGTCAATAACTCGTCGGTGTACGGAAGACTGTCGGGTGGGCAGTCGAGGCCGACGTGGTGGCCCGTCGGAGGACGTTCGTCCTCCCCGTCCTGTCCACAAGTGGGAGTAGGTGCAACCTCTCCATCCTCTACACCGCCGTTACTCGTGTGAGGAGGCGGCTCACGTTGTGCCTTGCCGTCCTCCAAACCCGCTCCTGCGGAGTGGACAGGGGCGCGTGCTGGAGTGCACCAAGTCTGCGCCTGGCGGAGTGGACCGGGTCCTCCGAACTCCGTCTCCTCCTCAGTGCCAACAACCGGCGCTAGCGACCGGGGATGAGTGATCCTGAACCCAGTATCCTCCTCCGTCACCATCGCATCAGTCACCGAGGCTTGCGCCTCTACGTGAACCGGGTCACGCCGCGTCTCGTTGGAAGGATCTCCCAGCTTGTCCTCTGACACGGCAACCGGGTCCTGCCGCATGATACATGCCCCCGTGTCGGTTGCAATGTGGACACGACGTCTGCGCACACGAGACGTAATACTCTCATCCTGTCTACCCCCACGTCTCAACCGCTGCAAAACGATGCGACCACCGGGCAGAACATCGCCGTCCACACGCTCCTCAACCCTGTCGCCACGGCACCCGCTCCCTCCACCATCACCCCCCCCCTCACCACCTCTGCCATCTCCCCCCTGATCACCGCCCCCGGGCCCTGCTGAATCACCTCCCCC